AGTAGAGATGGGGTTTCACCATGTTTGCCAGGCTGGTCTTGAACTCCTGGCCTCAAGTGATCTACCCGCCTCGACCTCCCAAAGTGCTAGGATTGCAGGCGTGAACCACCACACCCGGCCTGTTGTCTTATTTTAAGAAACTGCCACAGCCACTTCAACCTTTAGTAACCACCAGCCCAATCAGTCAGTGGCCATCAACACTGAGACAAGACCCTCCACCAGCAAAAAGACTGAGCCTCACTGAAGGCTCAGATGATCATTAGCATACAGAATTTTTAATTGTTTTTTAATTTTAAATTAAGGTATGCACATTGTTTTTTAGATGTAATGCTAGACGCAATGCTACTGTACACGTAATAGGCTACAATGGAGTGTAAACAAAACTTTTATGTGCACTGTGAAACCAAAAAGTTTGTGGGACTCACTTTATTGCAATATTAGCTTTATTATGGTGGTCTGGAGCAGACCCTGCAATATCTCTGAGGTCTGCCTGTACATATTCATTATTGAAAAGCAGACAAGCAAAAAAAGTTAAAATCACTTGTAATTCTGTATTACTGTATGTGTGTATTTATAAAGACTGACACACGCACAGAATTACTGTCCCATCACAACTGCTGAATGGCCATGGAGACTCTGGGGGCTAAAGGAGATCCCAGCAATGAGGGTGGTCTACGCTGTGAGTAGGCCACCCTTTGCAGAGGTGGATGGAACTCTGGACGCAGAGGTGCTGTACAGCAGCAGGGTGCCAGCCTGGAGAGGCCTCCATGTTGGGTGTTCCTGACAGGCTCCTTGGTTGAGCCCAGTCCCACTATGTAGTAGCTACCACGTGAGGCTCTCTGGGGACCTGGCTATCAGGAGTCTGTTTCCAGCACTGGTCCCCTGTGTGCACTGATGACGGATGTCTGGAACCCAGGGACCTGCCACAGTCCCACCCTTCCTCCCTGTCCTCGGTGCTCCTCAGAGATGATGTCCTCTGGGCGTCTCCTGCATTGATCACGACAAGGGTGGGGTTCCAGGCCTCGAGTATGTCCCAGGGGAAATGTGTATGAACAGTGATGATACGAGATCATGACCACTCTGCTCTAGTCTGAGTGCTGGAAAACACACAGGGAAGCCGAGGCCTAGAACCCAGCCTCTGACTCCCAGTTCACGCTGTTTCCTTTCCTAAACCCGCATTTAGCACCTCACTCCCACATGAGCTGCTCAAGGACACTGTCCCATCACAACTGCTGAATAGCCATGGAGACTCTGGGGGCTAAAGGAGATCCCCAGGAGTAAGAATGACCCTTCCCCCACAGTCCCAGCTCATTCCAGGAGCGTCCAGGGCCGTGGTTGCAGGATGCAGATTCTAAGAGTCCACGGGAGGCATTCACAGATGGCGCTGTCCTTGCAAAACCCCAAATTTTATGGGGATAGATCCTTTGTGGTGAGCCATGACTGAATCTGCTGAGCTTTAGTGGCTTGCTGGATTCTGCTCATAAAGACAGGGCATGTCAGTGAAAATCATGCTAGGCTCAGCATAAGAAATGTGCCTCTGCCAGCCATCGGGTGGTGTGGGGTGAGGTGAGGCCTGCCGGGTGCGGCGATGAGCCAGGGGTTGGTGTGCTTTGTGCTACATCCTATACAAAGTGGCCAGTCATTCTGCTGGATGTCTGCTGGATGTGGTGCTGGCGACTTGGCTGAGTGATGGCAAGACTGAGGGTCTGGCGCTGCAGTCAAAGGGACTCAGGACGGAAAGGCCGTGAACTTGCCCTCGTGCACACCTTGAGGGCTGACTCCGAGCTGAGGAGCAGGAACAGGGAAAGTCACTCAGTGGCTTAGGTCAGAGCTTAGGTCAGAGCAGTCTTTTGGGGGCACAACCATAACAGTGTGCATTCCACCCAATTAACTTGGGGAAGAGCAACATGAAGACCTGAGACTTCATCCTGCACTGCTGTTCTTCAGCGCCCCCACCTGTTTGGTGCCGGTAAGAAATAAGGCACTGAAAGAAAGAACCCTGTGTATCCAGCACTTCCGCAGGTGAGGTCCTTGCTTTAAGACTGCACTTTTTACACAATATTCAAGAATTGTATTTCGTGAGAAAGTCTTATCGCGCCCCAAGAGGCGACTCGGTGGGAGGTGACAGGACACCAGACTGAGGGGTCTCCTTTAGCTCTGGTCTGCTCCAGGCAAACGTTATCGCTAAAGACAGTCCAAGCTCTCCCTCCCTTCTAACTTCGTTTGGAAACCCCAGCCAGCTCAGCAACTAATTACAAACAATATTACCATTTTAGCCATTTTTAACTATACAGCTCAGTGGCATTAAGTATATTCATAATATTATGCTATCATCACCTTTATCTATTTCCAGAACTTTTTCATCATTCCCAACAGAAAGTCTGTCCCCGTTAAACACTAGCTCCCCATTCTCTCCTCCTCCCAGCCCCTGGCCATCACCATGCGTTTAACTATCTTAGGGATCTCAGGTTAAGTGGAATCATACAGTACTTGTCTTTTTGTGTCTGGCTTATTCCATCTAGTATAGTATTGTCAGGGTTCATTTATGTGGCAGCATGTGTGGGAATTCCGTTTTGAGGCTGAATAACATTCCGCTGTACGGACAGACCACATTCTGCTTATGCATTTGTCTGCTGATGGACACCTGGACTGCTGCGAATGCTGCAGCTATGGACGTGGGTGTATAAATATGTGCTCGAGTTTCTACTTTCAATTATTTTGTGTGTAACTCAGAAGTGGAATTGCTGGGTTATATGGTAATTCTGTGTTTAACTTTTTGAGGAATCACCACCCTGTTTTCCACAGCGGCTGTTGCATTTTAGATTCCCACCAGCAATGGATACGGGTTCCTATTTCCCCATATCCCTGCCAACACTTGTTGTTTTCTGTTTTATTTTGTTTTTTTTGGATAAAGGCTCTATTCTAATGGGTGTGAAGAGGTATCGTACTGTGGTTTAGATTTAGCAACTAATTTTTAAGAATAAGCTTCCCTGCCGCAGAATAATAAGTATCAATCTGTATTGATCATTAATCATTAAAAGTCTTTATGAACCAAAAGTCCTCCCCCAAAAGTCTTCTCTCCTCTAAAACTGAAAAGGCCATAATTGGCTGTAAGGACATATGGCAGCTGCCCATGAAAAGATGGCAAAAGGCAGGCCTCTTCCAAGATGTCTAGCGGCGATATGTATCTTCACGTCACTCGCCCCGTGACGCAGCGTATGCTGCTGAAGGTTTCCATCACGTTTGGCCCAAAGGCTTCAGAGCCCAATCCTTTTTTCCAACTATAATTAACAGTAACTTAAATTGGCAAATAATTATTTATGATGTTCATATAGTAAAAACAGTTACTAAACTCTTTGAGATATGGTAGCTCGAACAAAATCTCACAAGCGAGAAACCCCGGTCAAGAGTCTGGGTGTAAGGCTGTACAGGAAAAACCCGCCTATTTCAAATGCCATTAGGCTTCCATGCAAAGTATAACCTGCATTTCTCAAGTCTATAAAGTATGATAGCTGCTTTGAGGATTTATTTGATCTGATGAAAATCATTCTGACAGATGCTGTTTTGAAGATGCAACATTATTTTCTCTCAGGAAACAGAGAGAGTGAAAACTATCAACCCTGCCTGCCCCGTATCCTCAGGCCTTTGCAGACTTTAAAAATCACACTTATTTAAATGTAAAGGAACTGCAAGCCAGGCAGAATTAGCCAGGATTAGAATCCAGATAACACTTCCTATACACTAGCAGAAACTGCAGCTTTTTCACACCCAGACTAAGCAGCCACCTGCTGTGCGTGCACGTGGGTCTCTCTTGTCCATCTGGTAAGGACCACATCAAACTCTGAAAAGGACCCTTTGTCCTTAACAAAAGTTCACTATTTCTTATTTTCTAAATTTTCTTAATGAAGAAGATTTACACCGTATTGGCACTCTGTGGAGACTGCAGACAGGCAGGATGAAGTGCCAGAGACGCTCAGTGAGGGAGTAACCCTGCGGAATGCAGATCTCATCAACGCTGAGCTTGATGGTCTCATCTTTAAAGGAATGTGGAAAGGGCGGAGAAACCCAAATTCAGTTTTAAAACTTCCCTAAACTCCCATACAGCAACTATTTAACTCAATATATTCAAATTACTGCCATCCCAACACGTAACTCATATAAAAATTGAGAAGACTTAACGTTCGTTTGTGTTCTAAGGCTTTACACCCTCCCTCGCCATCGCGGGGCTCTGACAGCGTGGTTTCTGCGCCAGTTCTGAGAGGGGTAAAGCGACGCGCTCTGTGAGTTAGGGCTGGACAGGAGGTTCCCTACCAGACAGACGGCTGCTGCAATCTACACCTTCATCCTTTTGCAGTCAAGAGCTTGAGGGCCTTCAGTGGGGGCCTCCTGGATGTCTCCCAGGGGCCCGGATTCTATCTTCTTGCACTTAGTCCAGCGCCCATCCCAAGTCTAGCGACTCTTCCACAGGACAGCCCTTTGATATTTGAAGGTTACCACAAATCCCCAGAACATCCCTTTCCCAGACTCAAAGGCATGATTTCAAATTCCTTCACTCTCTCAGCTATTCTCCCAACTGCATTCCAGTGTGGTTTCTAGAGTTTTGCCTAGAACTGTATGTGACACCCCACATGTACCTACTCAGTCCCCACAGGACACCGATATTGCAATAATACTTTCTCCTGGGCTACAGAGAGCAGGTCAGCCAGAAAATGAATCCGGGTGTCCCAAAAGGACCGACTGTTAATAATCTTCAAACAGGATTGCTACTGATAGGCAACCTGTGGACAAAGTAATTTGTATCTGCTGCTCTGCTCCAGCCTGGTTCACCATAGCTAGTTTTGTGGGGTCCTTACCCTTCTTCCTTTAACCCTGGGGGAGCTTCTGCACTCTTGGAAAAATGCAGTGCCCTTCTTCACCCCAAAATAGGATTCTGTGCAACAGCGAGGGGTCCGATGTGCATCTGACTGGTCAGCCTCTTCCTTCCCAAGCATCCTGGTAGGGATTAGGGCCAGCTTAGTTACCACACAGTTGCATTCTGGGATGGGGAGAAACATGCACGCACACACACACACACACACACCTGTGCGCGGAGTAGTAGTGAAACTGGGAATCTGGTCAAGTCTCTGATCCCGCTGAAAGTAATAAAAATGGCAGCAAAGGCATTACTGGAGAGTTATACGTAACAGAATCATTTTCATGTTAGTTTTGACCTGCGTTCATGGAAATCTACTCAAGTTATCCTCTGCAAATGCTGTCTCCTCTTCATGTAAATGTACTCTATCAGTGGGAAGTGTGTACACACAAGGCAGGGACACATGGCCTTTAATAAGCCACTGGGGCTCTATTTTCCCTAAAGGACAGAAATGATCTCAGGTGATAAAAGTTACTGTTTACCAATCACCACTATGTACTATGGACCGGCTGCTGAGTTAGGTGCTCCCCTTAGAAGTGCTGTATCTAACTCTCTCGGTCCTGTGAGGCAGGGGCTCTCCATTTCACAGATTAGAAGGGTAAATCAGAAAGGGCCGGTCATTTGCCTGAGGGTTGCACAGTGATAAGTGCTGGGAACCAGACTTGGAACGAGGGCCGTACAGGGCACGTAATCTTGGCCCCAAGCCCAGTCCCCTCATTTTAAAGGGCTTAGCTGCCTCAAGTTTTAGCTTGTCTTCTGTATGTGATTTAGAGACGCGGAGTTTTAAGGTAAGCAATCTAAATGTAACCTGAGAGTCCTTTATTCAACCAGACGGTACAATACATTCAAATCTACCTAAAGATTTACTTTCTGACTTGATAGTGGATTTTTTTTTTCCTGAAAAATGATCACTTATGTCTCTCGCATTTAACTATCACACAAAGCACTTCCACATAAATCATTCGCTCATCTGAGTTCCTTCGGCAGGCGATGTTCCATTTTATGGAGGAAGAAATGGTGCTTCAGAGAGGCTGGAATCTTGCTTGGGGTCCTGGGGGCAGAGCCCGGGAGAAAGCACAAGGGCTGTGCTCTTCGGTTGGGTTGCTGAGATCTCCACCATCTCAGATGACTCTGTTCCTCAGTCTCGGGAACAAAATGCAGGGGAGGCTTCAAACCATCCAACAGATCCAGAGGCAGCCGACAGGTCCAGAGACGATTCAGAACCACAGAAAGGAGGGACAGTGGCAAATGGACACCATGAGTGTGGGCTCTGGTGTTGGATGATCTGGGTTAAAATCCTGACTCTGCCAGGGACAAGCTGGTGAGCTGGTGTTTGGCTTTTCTGAGGCTTAGTTTCCTTGTCCATAAAACTGGACAGCAACAGACCCTACCTCCTTAGGTGACTGTATACATGTGTACACACACACACACACACACACACACACACACACACACACAGCAGAAAGCAACAGATTCTAAACAGGGTCGAAATAGAGTTTCAGAATTTGCTTCTGGGCTGCCTGGTGGGCTCCGTGCTTTCCTGAGGAGGGAAGGCAAAGAGACTGCTCTTCCAGGGTAATGACCTTGAGAACTGGGCTGCACCTCGAATCAAACCCTCTGTCAGTGCAGAAGAAAAGGCCCCTGGGCCTCGCCCACTGTGTGCTGACGAAAGGTAGTCACAGTGTGCGCTCAGCACGTGTCTGTGTGCTGATGAAAGGTAGTCACAGTGTGCGCTCAGCACGTGTCTGTGTGCTGATGAAAGGTAGTCACAGTGTGCGCTTAGCACGTGTGTAACAGAGAGGACACGACGCTAGAGCACTGCAGTGGGAGGACGGGGCACCCTCGATCAGCTTCTGCCCGCACAAAGTGATTGGGGCCGGGGGCCCTTCTCATGCACTGATGAAGGGGTGACTTAGGTTGCGGCCCAGCACAGGCGCTCATTGACTGGGAAAAGCAGTCTCTTCATCCACTCTCCTCAGGAAAGCACGGAGCCTGCAGGGCAGCCTAGAAACAAATTCCAAAACTCTTGTTTTGACTCTGCTCGGAATCTGTAGCTTTGCGCTTCCAGAGTTTATGGAAAATATAGTCCCACCTGGGGTGACTTTTTAAACATTTCCTAGTAAGTCGATGGAAAACAAATCTATTCCTGCATTTTTAGTTCTTGAAATACCTTCTTGGCTTGGTCTTAATTTATTTGGGCTATTAATTTTCTGGACAGCAAAATAATAATTAGCATGGCTGGTGAGCAGAGGGAAACGTCTCACTCGATTGCACCCAGGCATTTCTGGGCAACGTCCTTCTTCAGAGTGTGACAGGTGAAGCCGTCTCCCTCCTTCAGCCTGGCTTCAGCACTGACAACATTCCCACAAGATGGCACTGCTGGTCCTCTCAGCCCGTGAAGGCTCCGGCCGGCTCGGCCACAGCGAGGAGAAATGGAACCTGGCCAAGCACTGCGGGCAAGGGCTGCTGGCACCTGGACACGAGGTGCCCCTTCTCCCCAGGAGTGGCTAATTGTCACATGAGTCCGACCAAAGGTATATAGAACTCAACTCCAGCGCTGCAAACACAATTCTAAACCCGAGAGAAAATAACCTGGAACCTAATTCCTTCTAAATTTGGTATATGACATTTATAAAATGTTTCAAAAGGGCACAGCCAGAGGTGCTCTTCTAGGGGAGAATACTTGAGTTCGCACTGGTCTAACAGCACCTTCTTTGCAGTGAGGTGGTAGTTTCATATGACTGGAATCAGTGTCTTCAAATCCCTCAGTGAAGAGGCTGCGACAGCAATCTGCCCCTTCCTCAGACCTACTGTTTCCAGGACACTGTGATTTCAGGACAAAACCTCACCCCAACCTGTTCTTCTGGGTCTGGGCCAGGTCTGGGTCTGTGTGGGAAGGATGCTGTCATTTGGGGGTTCTGAAATATTTCTCTCCAGGTAGCATTCCACCCACAGATGGTTGGCTAATTGTTGATCCATATGTCAAAACTTCACAGAGATTTTTTTTTAGTTAGGAAAGGCTAAAACCCCAAGTTCTGAGTGTGTCGGGTGAACAGGGCTCATCAGTAGATGACGTGTTCCACACTCTGCATGCAGTGTGAAAGCCACAGACTGGACGTCTAGTTTAAACAGGCGGGGACCTTCATTTTCCCTCTAGACACAGCTCCAGAAAGCTCCTGTGGGCCCAGCACTCTACCCGTCCCAGACCACTTCAGTGTCTGGCGTGTGGCTCCTCCCTCCCCTCCTCCTGCTCTTCCTTATTCTACCTCTTTCCTCGGATGCAAAGAAGGGGAAATAATGGCAGGAAGTGTTAATTACCCTTCTTATATCTTATGGATTTAATACGTACTGATGGTCCTGCACCACTGAGACTTTCAAAATTTATCACACATACAGGAGCGACCACATCTGAGGGGCACGGCCCAGGCACCGCTTCCTGACAGTGAGGGAGGGAGTAGGGACTTGGGGGGAGGCCTCGGCCTGGTGTAGAAATCCCAGACATTCTGCTGCCATCTCTACAGGACTCAGAGGCGATTCAGAACCACAGACAAAAGCAGTGTCATGGCACGTTTGAGGGCTTGGGCTTAGAAAACAGATGGTTCTGGGGTCAAATCTCAGTTCAGATGAGCAGCCTCTCAAAGCCTCAGTGTCCATCTGTAAGATGGGAATGATTCCTACTTTGTAGAATAGGGAGTTTAAATAAAATAGTGTATTCACTGTGTTTGGAATAGACATCCACTGACAAGCTCATGTTTAGTGGCGATAAGTAATGAATTAGTTTCCTATGTGAAGACAGTCTAGTCATTGCTTTTTGTCCTCTAAAGCATAACACTTCCTTTCTCTCTCTCTCATTTCTTTCAAGTCTGGGGAATTTCAGAGTTTCTCAGGGCTTCTTTGAAGAATGCCAGCGTGCCCACCTTGAGTTTCCTCACTCCTTTGTTCTAAGCATTGCACGGTGCCATGGGGCAGGGTTTGAAGACATTACTATGAGAAAAGGTTCCCCCAGCACCAAAGAGTGGGAATCCCTGTTCACCTCCACTCCCACCTCCACTCCTGAACAATTCAAACACTATAAAGCAGCAAAAATGGCTGCTTCCTTTACTTAATGAAATGTTCCAGAGAAGATAACTTTTATGCAGAATGTAAGTTATCGTTAAAGGCAAGGGGCAAATTTTTAAAAAAGTGTGCATGTTTAACTACATGGCAATGTGGAAGATACTGGGGGGAAGCCCGCCTAGGTGTAGCTCCAAAGCTACACCACTGGGAGACCTTGGCTGTAGGTGGGCCACCTCTAAAGACGCTAGATCAGGCGTTGGACACAGTCCTTTGCAGGATTCAGAAAGGCTCCTGGCACCGCCCTAGGAAGTGCCTGCTCACCATACTTTATTACATGGTTAGCTCGTTACAACGGAGAGACGCGCGGCTGTCCAGCAGGGCTGAGGACAACTGGTACGATGATTAGTCTGTATAACGATCATCTATGTATTAAAAACTTTACATGTTGCTTCATTTCAGGATGTAACATTTACCCTAAAAACGGTTCCATCTTTGATTCCGAACACGTCCATGTGTTAGAGTCATTCTTGGGAATTTCAATTATGGGAAGGTGCTGGTGACTGCTTAATGCTGATTAGACAGGTGCTTTAAAAATCACTCTATTAATTGTCTATATTTTGAAATGCAATCTTCAGGCTCAAGGGTCATATGATAAATGGTATAATTTTTGGGAGGTGGGTGTCCATGGTTCAAAGTACAAAGTATGTATTTTAAATAGGATAAAACTATGATGGTTCTAAAAGGGAAAATGATCATGTAGGTAGAAAAAATCCAACAAGACAACTGTCAATGGAATTCCTATTAGAAAGCAGCACACACTAATCCAATACCGGAAATCTCATCTGGTCTGAGTCTACTTCCATCTCCGGAAGCACAGGCGGCTGACCTTCAATGGGATCAGCTGTCACTAGGACGTTTTCATGCAGAACCAGCAACAGAATTAGAGACGCCAGAGTTAACTTGTAATGAGGATACTTTCCAGCCAGGCATCTCTTAGTCACGGAGCTATGCATCTAGCAAGAGTCAAAGCATGGCCTGGGAGAACCACGCACAGTGTGGGCTCAAGTCAGGGACACTGCATGATGGAGGAGGGCTTTCTGATTCCTCTGTGGCTGGATTCACCAGGAATTATGTCCTTAATCCACCTTTCCCACACACAGCAAGGGAGGGAGTTGGTGAGCTGAGATCACAGCTACTCGCCAGCCAGCCAGGCTGACACAGTAAGTGGCCTCAGTGGTCTCTGGATCTGCAAATTCAGCTGCTACCTGATTGGAAATGCTAGCTCTGTAAGCCCTCCTAAGATCATACCAAGACTTGGGCCTTTTCCAGACTTAGCAAAAAAAAAAAAAAAAGAGAGAGAGAGAGCAGGGTCAAATAGGCAGAAAACTAAACCCACAACCAATTCTGTTTACTTTTCAAAACCAGCTAGTGAGTTAGGACAACTTACATTCAACCCAACAGCCCTACCTTCACCCACGTTTATAGCAAACACTGCAGAGTATTAGAATAGCATGGGAGCACAGTAGGGCAGGCTGTGGTATAGACCAGCATCAAAGTCCCCTAAAGTTCGGGTTTCGAGAAAATGCACTGTGAGCCACTAATTACAGTCTTCACTGACTCCCTGATATTGACTATTCATGATGCCCTGATCTCTAGTGACTGGGTCTCTCCCGGGTAAATTAATATTCAGGGCCCTAAGGTTTATTGTGGTTTATTGATTAGTTGGTTTCATTCATTTATTCACACACATACTATATATATATACATATGTAGATGTCATTCTATCTATCAGTCAATCATCTATCTGTCAACAAAAGTTCTCTGAAAAAGGAATTTGGAGGAAAGAGACTTTATGCCAGTGAACAGTTTGCAAACCAGGGAGACACAGCCTCCAATATAAAATGAAGGTATGTTCCAAAGAACAAAGGAAGGCTTGGGTTTTAGAGCAAAAGTTCCTACCCAGGTTCCCAATCAGGTCTGTTAATTCAAATTTAAAAAATGGGGCCAGGCGCGGTGGCTTACACCTGTAATCCTAGCACTTTGGGAGGCCGAGGCGGGCGGATCAGGAGATCAGGAGATCGAGACCATCCTGGCTAACATGGTGAAACCCGTCTCTACAAAAAATACTAAAAATTAGCCAGGCGTGGTGGCGGGTGCCTGTAGTCCCAGCTACTTGGGAGGCTGAGGCAGGAGAATGGCGTGAACCTGGGAGGCGGAGCTTGCAGTGAGCCGAGATTGTGCTACTGCACTCCAGCCTGGGTGACAGAGGGAGACTCTGTCTCAAAAAAAAAAAAAAAAAAAAGAAGTTTGCTTAGTTCTGATTGGCTGATACAGCTGAGCCCTGGTTGTTTGGTTCAGGTGAGCTCTAAAAGTCCCAAAGATAAAAAGGTGCAGGTTTTGGGGGAAATTCAGAGTACCTATATGACTCCTAGTCAGCAAATGGCCACTTGGCTCTATTTAAAATCTGGACCCAGTGAGCCACTAAGGATCTATATTGGAAGACTGGCCCTTCCAGGTTCACATTTGTTCACATCTACCTACCTACCTACCTACCTACCTACCTACCTACCTACTTACCTGTCTGTCTGTCTGTCTATGGTGTTTATAAGTATCAAGCATGCCTGAAAATAAGGAAGCATTTGCACAATCTCTAGAGCATTTCCTACTTTTCCTGCCTGTCCAGTTGCTAGAGGGACATAAGAGCTTGTCTCTGCTTCTTATCACTGTCACCTTCTTCCTCCTCTCCACTAACAGGCATTTGGTGTTCACAAGCTGTATAGGACGCTGGGTTAGGGACTGAGGTGAAGATTGGTCCCAGAGGGCTCCCTAAATAGCAAGAGGCCATCAGGCCACACCTGTGAGGTTTCCCAGAAGCTAATGCAAAAGCAGGTCACCATGGGTTTCTGGAAACGTGGGCTGTCTCTGTTTTGATGTGGCCAGTCTCCGTGGCAACCACATGAAAACTAAGTATGTCCTTATCGACAGGAAGGACTTCCACAAGACTGATCCTCATCAGGGATGAGAACTCCCCCACAGCTGTTCCTGAGGGCATATAGGGAACCACAGAATCTCTGTGAACTTGGTGAATGAGCCTTTCCAGAGAGGAATGAAAGGGCAGGGGCAGGAAGGAAGGGGAATGTCCAGTGTGTGCCGCACTAGGCCCCAGGCCCACAGCTCTCACTCCCACCTGCTTCTCCCAACGGTTCCTTGGGGTGGGGGCGGTTCTCTACCTTGAGGCAGCTTCCTTTGCTTTCCATGGGGCAGCCAGATAACATGCTTTACCACCAGCAAATCTCACCAGTGAAGACATCCATATGCCTTGTTATTTACAAAGTGAGGAGGCAGATGCTGGATGATGGACAGAGCAAGCTTCGACCTGGAGAACTTCTCTCCGAGCTGAGATGCACCTGGAGGGCATGGCCTCCAGCAGGAAAAGGGTAACCAGAATGGGGCTCTGGGTGGGCCCCTCCACGGGCAGGATGTGACATGCTTCTAGGGAGCATTAGGGCTCAATGGAAACTTTCCACTAAGACGTCAGAGGGGAACTGATTTGTAGTGTATAATCCTCACTTTGAGGTGGTATGCATAAGTAGACAGCTACATGGCAGCCTTCCTTCTTCCACATGGCTGGGCAGGTAAGTCCACCCATCTGACTTCTGAGACCCACTAGAGAAGTGACAGAAAGTGCAAGAACAACACAAGCGCATTTCAGGAGAACTGCCACCACCATCTCTAAGGACAGCCCTGCAAATGTTAATGAATTAGAATGCAAACTAAGGTTGGGGCCAAAGGAGGAACTGGAGGCTCTTTGTTCTCCTTTTCACATCTGCTGGGACCTGTAGGAAGGGGAGTCTTATTAGGGATGGAAGAAGGGAAGGACATTTTCAGCTGAGGCACAGGTTCTGGTGGGGAGCTGTCACCGGCACTGTGGAGCCCCAGGGGCTGCGTGGATGTGTGGGGCCTGGCAGTCAGCATGCATGGATCTGTGCTCACCACCACTGTGCCTGGGCGCTCCTATCAGGTAAAATATTCACTGAGCAACCACCCAGTGCTAGGTGCTGGAGACCCAGGAGCGACCACCCAGATGGGGCCAGCCCTGCTGGGGTATGAGGGTGCTGGGCTCTCTGCAGCATTACAGGACTCAAGGCTGACTTGAACTGCTTTGCAAACTAATCCAGGGCCCTTGTTTCTCTGGGTCACATGCTATAGGTAAGATGGCCCTACGGTTTTACATTTTGTTATCTCAAACCAGAACACACTGGCTGACCAGCACAACAGAGAATGTGTGAAACCAGACCTTTCCCAGAAAAGCTGGGCCATGTGGCCCCTGCTCTGAGTAGCCGGCTGTGCAATGCCTGTGTCTGTGCTGTTCCATGCATCTGATGAACAAGCTGTCACCTTAGAAACCAGAGGGAAGAAGCCCACATAGAGGTGAACACCCAGGAGGCAAACCATGGCATCTGGCTGGGGCATGTGGGTACTTGGTCAAGACCCGAAGCAACCGTTGGCTATGAGGGTTTATTTCCCAAGGAAACAAAAAATGCAGTGTTTAAAGTGAGATACATGCATAAAGCACCAGAGAAGTCATCTGCCTCTGTGTTGCTTGTTTAATAAAGGCAGGTGAAGATGGAACGGGAGCACTAACTCAGAACACTGATTTAAAAGAAGTCAGCTGTATCACAGAGAATGCAAGTCAAAGAGGAGTTCTTTTCAAGCTCAAGATGCAATCTGCTGCTTTTCCTCAGCATTTGCCTCAATAAGGAACCAATTTGAATATTTTTAAACCCAGCATCTTTATGGTTCAGTAACGGGGCTGACAGTGAGCCCTAAAATGGTTTTCAAGGATATAAGTACAAACACACTGTGCACTGTAGTTTCCAATAATGATTGCAATGTCAGATGACATTGTATTTGTCTTCTATCATTTTCTTAAAATAAATAAATAAATAAAAAGGTGGGGTGGGGCGGTGCAACCAATCCCCTGCCATCTCCTCTCTGACCAGTAGAGGGAGAATGAACTTCATTCAGGGCAGCAAATTAGGCCTCAAGTTATCCCTAGGATGGTGGTTATATCCCTGATTCCCCGGGACAGTCTGGGTTCAGGCATCCGTCCTGGTGTCATTACTAGCAGTGCTTTCTCTCACTGTCAAAGCATGTCAGACTAAATATGCTGCATGGTCACTCCAAGCTGAGACACGGAATTCTGGTATGATCCTGAACTTTTCCGGGGCTCTTAAGTTTCATTTTTCATGGAAGAAATGCTCGGATGGCCTGTGTTTGGTTCCACCTTGATACTTGAGCCAGCTGATAAACAGCAATTTCAAGGCTGGCTCATGTTCTCTTTCCATCACTTTCCTGCCCCTCCAAGGGCAGGACTTACACTTTCCCAGCTGTGTTTCCACAAGAACTTCCCACTTATCACAACACGGCTTTAAGCTTCTGCACGCATGACTCCCCTTCAAGGTCAAGGACCATGGTAGAATCTGTTGTGTGCCCAGCGCCTGGCACATGGTCTGGTGCACACACATACTCGACAAATGCTCTGAGCACCAAATGACATCACCGGTCAGTGACCCTCAGCGTAGCCCAAGTTTGTGGTCGTGGCCAGGCAGTGAATGAACCAGGGTGCTTAGCTGGGACTGTTTGTTGCTCATTTCTTAGGAATAAGTAACTCTCATGCCCTGCTTGCCTGAAAGGCTTGCAAAAGAGCGATTAGAGATAGTGGATTTATTTTTGTGACCTGACAATCTGGCTGCGCTGGATCTGCTGGCTATGGGGTGATATCTGGAGTCCCCAGGCAAACGGGCTCTTCCTCCAGCTTTTGCCAGACTGACCTGGAAGATTAGCTTTTCTCCCTCTTTAGAGGGAGCTCAGGCTAACAGGTACTTCAGATCTTTTCAAGTCAAACTTGAGAATGGTGATAGAACCATGAGTTGAAGCTTAAACGATAAAAACAGTAAGCCAGAGGCAGTACAGAAAAGAGGAATGGGGTGTTATCAAAGAACACATTCATGGGCCTGAATTAACAAATTTAACGGGAAAAAGCCCATCTACCTTCTTTACGGCAACTCCTGGCAGCTGCCAACAACAGCTGGATGCCTTGGCAGGACTCTTGCCTAACCCAGAGAAAGACTAAGAATCAAAGGAAGCTCATCTTGTAAAGAAAAGATGTCTTTTTAATAAAGTGCGATGCCACTCATGACCAAAAATACCCATGCAAAAGGGACAGTAACATGCAGACAGATGTGCACCCTTACCCTGAGCAGAGACCATCTGGCATGCCTTGCCTCCTCAGCCAGAGTCTCGAATGCCTGAAGGATCCGGGTCTTAAGTTTTCAACTTTTGTCTCCTT